GCGAACCCAGAATAATTGATTTCTCATATTTACATTAAAACAAAAAAACAAGAATGAAAACTGAAGAATTAAAGGCACAGCAACGTGACTGAATATCAACTGATTCCTCAAGTGGGAAATACACATCACTCACATTATTACGTGCAACATCTGGGTATCTTTATTGTAGACGTTTCGCCCTCCAGTGGATTTATCAATACAGATTCCAGGATATAATTTGAAGACAGTAGAACTATGTACAGAAGATGTGGTAATTAGTACTCACCTAGTTGAGGTTGCAGGAGTCGAGTCATAGCTCCTGGAACCGCCTCTTCACTGGTCGCTACTAGGTCACTCTCCCTGAACCGTGAGCTTTATCATACCTCTGCTTAAAGCTATGTATGGATCCTGCCTCCACTACATCGCTTCCCAAACTATTCCACTTACTGACTACTCTGTGGCTGAAGAAATACTTCCTAACATCCCTGTGATTGATCTGTGTCTTCAACTTCCAACTATGTCCCCTTGTTGCTGTGTCCCATCTCTGGAACATCCTGTCTTTGTCCACCTTGTTAATTCCTCTCAGTATTTTGTATGTCGTTATCATATCCCCCTATCTCTCCTGTCCTCCAGTGTCGTCAGGCTGATTTCCCTTAACCTCTCCTCGTAGGACATATCCCTTAGCTCTGGGAATAGTCTTGTTGCAAACCTTTGCACTTTCTCTAGTTTCTTCACGTGCTTGGCTAGGTGTGGGTTCCAAACTGGTGCCGCATACTCCAATATGGGCCTAACGTACACGGTGTACAGGGTCCTGAACGATCCCTTATTAAGATGTCGGAATGCTGTTCTGAGGTTTGCTATGCACCCATATGCTGCAGCAGTTATTTGGTTGATGTGCGCTTCAGGAGATGTGCCTGGTGTTATACTCACCCCAAGATCTTTTTCCATGAGTGAGGTTTGTAGTCTCTGGCCCCCTAGACTGTACTCCGTCTGCGGTCTTCTTTGCCCTTCCCCAATCTTCATGACTTTGCACTTGGTGGGGTTGAACTCCAGGAGCCAATTGCTGGACAAGGTCTGTAGCCTGTCCAGATCCCTTTGTAGTTCTGCCTGGTCTTCGATCGAATGAATTCTTCTCATCAACTTCACGTCATCTGCAAACAGGGACACCTCGGAGTCTATTCCTTCCGTCATGTCGTTCACAAATACCAGAAACAGCACTGGTTCTAGGACTGACCCCTGTGGGACCCCGCTGGTCACAGGTGCCCATTCTGACACCTCGCCACGTACCATGACTCGCTGCTGTCTTCCTGACAAGTATTCCCTGATCCATTGTAGTGCCTTCCCTGTCATCCCTGCTTGGTCCTCCAGTTTTTGCACTAATCCCTCAGCCTTGGAGTTGGTACGAAGAGCACCGTAGTTGTGTAGATTCTGGAGCACAGGCAAGAAGCCTGGAGCTTATATTCTAACCTCTGGTGGATTGGGACGGGTAGCGGACGAGAGCATAGTCACTGGTAGGCGGGATTCCCCAGCTTCCAGTAGGTCACCCACACTGCAGTATCAAACACAAGCATCCCAGTTTCCAGTAGGTCACCCACATTGCAGTGTCAAACACAAGCATCTCAGCTTACAGTATGTCACCCACACTGCAGTGTCAAACAAACATCCCAGCTTCCAGTAGGTCACCCACATTGCAGTATCAAACAAACATCCCAGCTTCCAGTAGGTCACCCACACTGCAGTATCAAACAAGCATCCCAGCTTCCAGTAGGTCACCCACATTGCAGTATCAAACACAAGCATCCCAGCTTCCAGTAGGCCACCCACATTGCAGTATCAAACAAACATCCCAGCTTCCAGTAGGTCACCCACACTGCAGTATCAAACACAAACATCCCAGCTTCCAGTAGGTCACCCACATTGCAGTATCAAACACAAACATCCCAGCTTCCAGTATGTCACCCACATTGCAGTATCAAACACAAACATCCCAGCTTCCAGTATGTCACCCACATTGCAGTATCAAACAAAAACATCCCAGCTTCCAGTATGTCGCCCACATTGCAGTATCAAACACAAACATCCCAGCTTCCGGTAGGTCACCCACACTGCAGTATCAAACACAAACATCCCAGCTTCCAGTAGGTCACCCACACTGCAGTATCAAACACAAACATCCCAGCTTCCAGTAGGTCACCCACATTGCAGTATCAAACACAAGCATCCCAGCTTCCAGTAGATCACCCACATTGCAGTATCAAACACAAGCATCCCAGCTTCCAGTAGGTCACCCACAATGCAGTATCAAACACAAGCATCCCAGCTTCCAGTCTGGCATTTATTTATGGGGATGCCCTTTTTTTAATTTAGTAAAATTAGAAGCATCAAGAGTGTTCTGCTGAGCTAACAATGCAGGGGTGTCACCTCCCCCTTCAAATAACTCGTACATTGCAGAAAGAAACTTACGATGACATTTCGGTCCGACTAGTCCAAGTCGGACCGAAACGTATTCATTAGTTTGTTTCTCTATTCACTCGTTATTCGTGTATGTAACACAAGTCTTTCATATTACCTTATCTTCTCCAGTGTTCTTTACACCATACCCAAGAAAATAACTAATGGGAGAACAGTTAACTCCTCTGCCAAACTAAATTAGAGGATTAGATACAATGCCAATACTACATACACCAGCAACAGCGTATAACATTAAAATGGTATAAAATACCGACAGGTTGTTAGGTGAGACACATATGCAACAGTTAGGTATCTTTACCTAACTAAGATACCTAACTGTTGCATATGTGTCTTACCTAACAACAGCGTATAAATGTAAACAGTGGAAGGCCAGATAAATTCGATATATAAAAGTCAGCTTTTTTGACGAGATAGTGAATCAGAAGGAAATTTATATTACGTAAATAAGCAGAAGGCAAGTTTGCTGATAATTTAAATGTAATACATATATGGTACGCATTGTGATGAATGGTTTGAAAAACACTTGTTCAACCTTTGGACGAAGACCAACTTCGACTAGCGGATGGTACCACTATGACCCCGCCTCCGCCTGCTTCACCTCACCTCACTACAGTATATAAGCCACGTCTACGGCCCTATGCTGTACATTCTACAAGATTGATGGACTGAACACATCGACTCCAGGCTGAGGGACTGATTACCTCATACTCCTCCTCTCCTTACGCCTTCCTCTTTGTATTGGACTGATGAAGCCACTGTGTGGCGAAACGTTTCCTGAATAAAGATTCCCATATGTTGCATAAGTGTCTCAGTCTTCAAGAGCAGTAGTGGAACGCCTTATTACGTTCATAGTCTTGTGGTATCGTAGTTCATGGGTCACGTTTATGTCACAGGTGGTCACGTTAGTAGTACAGGGGTCAAGTTTGTCACAGATGATGACATTAGTACGCCAGGGGTCACGTTCGTGATTATGTGATCACGTTAGTACTCTCTGAGGGTGACGTTCGTGATTATGCGATAACGTTAGCACCCCAGGGGCTACGCTCGTGCTCCGTGGTCACGTGAGTGATTATGCTGTCACGTTAGTATCTCGGTGATCACGTTCATGTGCCGGTGGTCACATTAGTACCCCAGGAGTCACGTTCGTGCCCCGGTGACAGCATATGACAGACAGGTCGCGGGTCTAGACGGTGCAAAAATCTATGCAAAATATACGTATGGAAGATGAACATTAATAAGGGGGATATAAATATGGTTTTGAGGATATCCCTCCAAGAGAGAACCCACAATAATAGATTCAAATTTGATAAATATAGATTTAGAAAGGATATAGAAAAGTACTGGTTTGATAACAAGGTAGCTGATGAGTGGAACCATCTACCTGGTAGGGTTATCGAAGCTAAAACCTTGTGCAGTTGCAAATTTATTTTGGATAAATACGTGGGTGAGAGGGGTTGGATATGAGTGGTTCTTGCAAGTGAGTATATAGAATTATCAAAGCTTATTGCTTGGATAGCGCTTAATCTGTTAGTATGATAAATTAGACACATGTGCAACTCTTGGGTTTGTATGTCAACTTCTACTAGTGAGAATGGCTGGATTTGAGAGGGACCTGACCTTCCAACGACAACATTCTTACCTCTACTAGTGACCTACGTCTCACCTCTTGGCGCTATATAAGGCTCCATCCTGTCACTTCAACTCCATATTGTTTCAGATAAGATAAGATAAGATTTCGTTCGGATTTTTAACCCCGGAGGGTTAGCCACCCAGGATAACCCAAGAAAGTCAGTGCGTCATCGAGGACTGTCTAACTTATTTCCATTGGGGTCCTTAATCTTGTCCCCCAGGATGCGACCCACACCAGTCGACTAACACCCAGGTACCTATTTGCTGCTAGGTGAACAGGACAACAGGTGTAAGGAAACGTGTCGAAATGTTTCCACCCGCCGGGAATCGAACCCGGACCCTCCGTGTGTGAAGCGGGAGCTTTAGCCACCAGGCCACCGGGCCACGAGCCAGACTATGGAACAATGCTCTTCTCCAGACTGAGGGACTGACCACCTCAAAACTTTAAGGGTGATGGACTGATTACATCGTCTTCAAGTCTCTTCTGCTTCTATCAACTTTTCTGTACTCGACTGAAGAAGCCTACTGTGTAGGCGAAACGTTTCGAAATAAAGATACCTAACTGTTGCATATGTGTCTTACCTAACAACTCTTGGGTATCTTTATTAAGGAAACGTTTCGCCACACAGTGGCTTCATCAGTCCATACACAGGAGAAACTTGAAGAACAGGAGGAGAATGAGGTAATCAGGTTGAGGGACTGATTACCTCATTCTCCTCCTGTTCTTCAAAACGTTTCCTTAATAAAGCTACCCAAGAGTTGCACATGTGTCTAATTTATCAACGTGTCGGTTCTGTGAACCATTCATCTACAATCTGTTAGTATGCTGGATTTGTGAAGGTCTGGCCTAGTATTGGCCAACAGGCCTACTGCAGCATTCTTCCTTTCTTATGTTCTTATGTTCTTCTTGTGACTTTTTAAAGTAAAACAAAGAGTAATTTATACTTTCAGCATGCTAGTATGATGAATGGGAGTCCATGGGGTGTGACAGTGTTCCAGGCTCCAGCTGGTGACCTCCACGATAATGCTACCATCAACCTCCTCTCTCATCTCCTTCTCCGGGCACAACGGGTAAGTCATTTTATTCCTGGAGCGAGTATATTCCTCTTCTGCTAAAGTAGGGACGTCACACTACTGTTAAAGAGGGTAGGCCACTCTGCTGCTGATGTGGGTAGATATATCTTACTGTTGCATTAGTGGGTAAGTTCCTTATCTGCTGCTAAAGTGCGTAAGTACATCTGTTGCAGTAGTGTATAAGTTCCTTATCTACTACTGAAGTGGGTAGGTTTGTTTTATTGCTGCTATTGAAACAGTTTCGTTGATCTTATGCTCTACTGAAGTAGCTAGATTCCTATTCCGTTGTTGCTGCAGGAGCCGGAAGATCTATGATTCTCAAGGATACGTTCCTTTTAAGCCGACTTACGGTTCTTCTCGACAATCTTCTGAACCTTCTGCAATATGCTCTACTGAAGTAGCTAGATTCCTATTCCGTTGTTGCTGCAGGAGCCGGAAGATCTATGATTCTCAAGGATACGTTCCTTTTAAGCCGACTTACGGTTCTTCTCGACAATCTTCTGAACCTTCTGCAATACAAATTTTTCCTAAGGTCACTCCCGCAGTGACAGACTGTCCCGCGACTCAGGATCTTGCCTGGAAGCATGGAAGAGAGTCCTGAAATCGTAGAGCAGTTCCAGCTACCCACTAGGAGACACCCGCCCTATGTTCGCCTCTGACCATGACCTTGGCTTCTTTTTCTACACGATTTGTAAGCCTTCCTTGTTTCAAGTTATCTCTAGCTCACGTCTCATCATTACCCGTACTTTCGAACACTTCGCTACGTATCTCGTCCTCCACAATTCTGTGAAGTCTCTTCACTGAGCTTCGTTACCTCTCCAAGATACCTACTGTCCACCTACTTAAAATTCTCCATTCATCAGGCCACAAATCCTACTGAAGTCCTACGTTGTTTTTAACGTTATTGGGGTTAGTAAAGTGATTTTTTTGCAGTCCTCAGGATGCTTTCCATTCCCAGGAGGATGGAGAGGATGGAGATAAATGGCAAAATACCAACACGATGGAAAAATAGATACAAATGTAGTATAAAGCGATCCTTTATTGACTACGTTTCGCCCATACAGTGGGCTTTATCAAGGCACAAATAGATCTCTTAGTGATTTCATACAGCCCACTATGTGGGCGAAACGTAAAGAATAAATAATTGCCTTATACTACATTCGTATATTTGTCCTCCTCGCTGGAGAGCAGCTGGTCTGTGCCAGCTACACATCCCAGGCTGACCTCCAGTATGTCATTCAGTTTGTACATACCTGGCCAGTTACAGTACCGTAGTATCCTCGCTTGAATCGCTGTTGAAGATCAATTAACAACGCATAACAGATTGTTTGTCAGTTAGTTTAATATGTTTATTATGCACCCCATACCCATCCTGTGGGCGGTAGTCAAAAGATTACAGAGGTACATAATTGGTCCAGGGACTGGACTCCAAAGTTTTGATAGCTGAGCAAGTTACAGAGGTAATGAACTCACAATTTACAAAGGTAATGAACTCACAATTTACAAAGGTAATGAACACACAATTTACAAAGGTAATGAACTCCAGGTAAGTCTGGTCACAATCATGACAAGTTACAAAGGTATTTACAGATTACAGAGGTACGTAATGTTTGTCACACTAGACATTTGCGCTCGAATGTGAAAATGACATACCAATAACTCAAACCTCTTTCCTTGCGAGTCTTATATGTCGACACCTCGTTCGTGCGCTCTCCATACGCTACTCAAAATATCCCGGCAACTTTGCTAAGCTTAAATTTAATGGCTGTGATCTCCCTTTGTTGTCTGTCTTACAGGACATTACCAGACTTTTAACAAACTTTGTCCCTACTCGTCAAGAGTATTGTCAGTGATGGTGCTTCAGCTTAAGATAAGATAAGATAAGATTTCGTTCGGATTTTTAACCCCGGAGGGTTAGCCACCCAGGATAACCCAAGAAAGTCAGTGCGTCATCGAGGACTGTCTAACTTATTTCCATTGTGGTCCTTAATCTTGTCCCCCAGGATGCGACCCACACCAGTCCACTAACACCCAGGTACCTATTTGCTGCTAGGTGAACAGGACAACAGGTGTAAGGAAACGTGTCGGAATGTTTCCACCAGCCGGGAATCGAACCCGGGCCCTCCGTGTGTGAAGCGGGAGCTTTAGCCACCAGGCCACCGGGCCACCGGGGCACCTGTCAAAGTATTGCATGTTAAATGTCCTATCTGTTCTAGCCTCACATAAATAATCGTGTTTGGTAAAAGGACACTGATGCAACTAGTTAGACATTTTACTGTGGCGACGTTTCGTTTTCCAGGAGCTGTGTCAAGTCATTACCACCCGTCATGTAAACAGTCCATACCTATGTACCTGAAATATTCTTCGGCCTGTCCTTCCTACACTCGTTCAGGCTCGGAAAACATTAACGAAATACATTCACGTAATGAAAGAAAAGCGAATGTCTGCTATCGGGCTAATTCTCATATATTGCTTCACTGGCGCCTTTCAGGGGGATGGTAACGCTTTGATCTCGACCCCTCTTTTTTTTCAAGCGATTACGTTCGTTTTTGGTGTAATATTATGGTGGCCCGGTGGCCTGGTGGCTAAAGCTCCCGCTTCACACACGGAGGGCCCGGGTTCGATTCCCGGCGGGTGGAAACATTTCGACACGTTTCCTTACACCTGTTGTCCTGTTCACCTAGCAGCAAATAGGTACCTGGGTGTTAGTCGACTGGTGTGGGTCGCATCCTGGGGGACAAGATTAAGGACCCCAATGGAAATAAGTTAGACAGTCCTCGATGACGCACTGACTTTCTTGGGTTATCCTGGGTGGCTAACCCTCCGGGGTTAAAAATCCGAACGAAATCTTATCTTATCTTATATCAACCATGCTGTGCTGAAGTTTCAAACATATCGGCCAAAAAGGAAATTAAATATGCAAAATTTACGAAAAATTACGTTTGGCAGTATTCAATTACTCAGTGGTACTTGGAAAAGTGATTTTGACACTTGCTGCTGATAGAACACTTCTAATTACATAAACAACTATGTTCCAATTCTAAAATAAACCTTATCTTCATACTAAAAAAAATGAAGTTTCATAACTTTTTTGACATTGTGGAAGATGTCGGTCTTGTTGCCCACATAAATCTAAAAATATTTGGGTTGCTTCAGAAAGGAACATTGTTACTTGTAAATCAATCATTCTTCTTTGTTTGTTGTGAAAATCAAGTCAATTCATTCATAAATAACGATGGTAGGTCCATAAATAGGTAAATAACTTTCTTCCAACATATCGGCCGCCGCGCGCGGCACCCCAGGTGCCGGGGATTTTTTTTTTTTTCCGAAAAATTCGCTTTCTTTTACACTTTTTCCGTGATCTACGAGTGTTTATTACAGTTAATCATTGTAAATCTCCGTTTTCTCTCATCACTGATGAGAGAATGGGTCCTGTCACCTTCATGGGATATATCGCTAGAATTTTTTTTCCTCTGGGGCGTCATATTATGCTATATATTATTTTTTCTGGTGTACTTTTTATGTTTCTATTCTATTATTATATCGCCCTATGTCATATTAGATCAATTATGATAGGTAAATAAGCATTATAATTGATATTAGCGTGAGTATGGAATATTTTGTTGGCCGGAGGTGTCGGCCATTTTGGGCACTCTACCCACGGGAGGTTCCCGGTTGGTCGCTTGACCATATTAGCTCCGCTCACTCTGCCATGATCTCAGACGGTGAATTTGTATTATATTCGCCATAAAGACATGAGAAAACGATCAAAATAACACGGAAAGAAAAAAAATGCGGTGTCAGCGCTTGTTACGCAATGCGCTGTCACCATGCATGTTATAAATGACTATAATCCCTTTTAGAAACATCGTATAAGGATGATAATTATACCAGAGTGTAGCCAGAAAGTTCAGCTATTTTTTTTGGTAACAATAACTCAATTTTCGTATTTTTTTCGATTTCTTTTTTTTTACTCCGCGCGGCGAAGTGTTGAGGGCCCCCTTCAACTGGGATCATTCGCTCGCTTCTCGCAACCTCCCTTTGAACTCTTATTACTCCCTTCCTTATGTTCTCACAAGAAAGAAGGGGCACTACAGCAGGCCTACTGCCCCATGACTCAAGAAATCGTAATAACACGATTGCAAACAAACCATACCCCCGGCCGGGATTGAACCCACGGTCATAGAGTCTCAAAACTCCAGCCCGTCGCGTTAGCCACTAGACCAGCTAGCCACAATAAGATTCATCCAACTAGGTATATTTCTACACCATAAGAAGGTTAGCACAGGCACCTCTGTGAAGGGACTTGAGCTAGAGTTCGTCACGGCCACGCTAGCTGGAGATTCGTCTGTAAAAACTTGCATTTGTGGTCACAGAGGTGCCTGTGCTAACCTTCCTATGGTGTGAACATTAAAATGGTATAAAATACCGACAGGTTGTTAGGTAAGACACATATGCAACAGTTAGGTATCTTTATTATGAAACGTTTCGCCTACACAGTAGGCTTCTTCAGTCGAGTACAGAAAAGTTGATAGAAGCAGAAGATACTTGAAGACGATGTAATCAGTCCATCACCCTTAAAGTTTTGAGGTGGTCAGTCCCTCAGTCTGGAGCAGAGCATTGTTCCATAGTATGAAATAATATGGAGATGAAGTGACAGGATGGAGCTTTATATAGCGCCAAGAGGTGAGACGTAGGTCACTAGAAGAGGTAAGAACTCAGATGTTGAGAGGTCAGGTCCCTCTCAAATCCAGCCGCTCTCACTAGTGGAAGTTGTCGAAGTTGATTGCAGGTCTGTACCAAGATACCCTTCTGTTGCAGTGTCTGACAGATTGAACATTAAAATGGTATAAAATACCGACAGGTTGTTAGGTAAGACACATATGCAACAGTTAGGTATCTTTATTATGAAACGTTTCGCCTACACAGTAGGCTTCTTCAGTCGAGTACAGTCGACTGAAGAAGCCTACTGTGTAGGCGAAACGTTTCATAATAAAGATACCTAACTGTTGCATATGTGTCTTACCTAACTTCCTATGGTGTAGAAATATACCTAGTTGGATGAATCTTATTGTGGCTAGCTGGTCTAGTGGCTAACGCGACGGGCTGGAGTTTTGAGACTCTATGACCGCGGGTTCAATCCCGGCCGGGGTATGGGTTGTTTGCAATCTTGTCATTACGATTTCTTGAGTCATGTTGACGGCAGTGAAGGGACTTGAGATAGGGTTCGTCACGGCCACGCTAGCTGGAGATTCGTCTGTAAAAACTTGCATTTGTGGTCACAGAGGTGCCTGTGCTAACCTTCCTATGGTGTAGAAATATACCTAGTTGGATGAATCTTATTGTGGCTAGCTGGTCTAGTGGCTAACGCGACGGGCTGGAGTTTTGAGACTCTATGACCGCGGGTTCAATCCCGACCGGGGATATGGTTTCTACTGCCCCATGCTAGGTGGGTCCAAGTCACACCCGCTCAAGAACGAAGTACTGCAGCAGAGCCACTAGCCCAAGCTGGTCAGGAGTTGCTGTCCTCTAAGGCCTTACCTCCTCTGCTGCTACTTTTCTCTCTGGTATCCTTTTCCATCCTTCTTTTCTGCCATTTTTAGCTTTGTTTACCCTACACAACCAGCTGATGCTCCATGTGCCTCAGCTACTCCTTGGGTGATGGATATGGACGGTTACCCTCGGTAATTTCCTCCTTATCCATATCCATATTCACCTCCTCCCTTTAGTACCACTCCCTAAGGCCTAAGCTCATCCCTCCATTCTTAGCCCTCATTTTTTCTCTGCCTTTTCAACACAGTACCCCCTAGTTATTCCTGTCTCTAATATTCTTTACTCATTCCTGCCCCTCTCTGATTATTCAGGGTCGGACGCTACGATTCCTCCGAGCGACTTAGCGCACTTACGGTCCATTTCTTGGATGCAGTCACGATGTCTGAGACATGAGGTAGCATGACAGGGCTTATCAGGGGACCGTAAGAGCAAGGTTGTCCACTTGGCTTGTTGTGAGAAGTTTGAATGTGTCTGGGTTATTAAATAATTCGAGCATTTTTGTTCCCGTAGTCGTTAGTGGTCAAGATTACGACACATTTCCTTTATCAGAGGTGGTGACCTTGATGTTCGTGTCTTCTGCTAAAGTGCAGTGATGTAACGTCGAGGTAGGACTGGGAAGCTGTGTGTTGAGATGGCCGCCGAAATGATGCCAAAAACTACAGACCATTATTCTGATTTACAAAAACGCTCTCTTCAAGGCACCATTTTAGCGGCCATTTCAATACACAGCTCCCCAGTCCTACCTCTTCGTTACATCACTTCATTTAAAGCTTTAGCAAATGACACGAATATCAGGGTCACCGCCGCTGATAAAAGAGATGTGCAAGTTTTTACCGACGAATCTCCCGCTAGCATATCCATGACGAACTCTAGCTCAAGTCCCCTCAAAACCATCAGCATGAGGGGACTTGAGCTAGAGTGCGTCACGGCTATGCTAGCTGGTCCAGTGGCTAACGCGTCGGTCTGGAATTTTGAGACTCTGATCGCGGGTTCTAACCCCACCCTTGATATGGTTTGATTAGCATTTGATTCATACATCACATTTCTCTGCATCCACAGGAATCCGTATACCGAATTTCTTAACTTTATCTCATTTCCGTAACATAAATCAAATTGCAATAATGTTGGTAGAATTACCAACAATATGTTAAGTAAAAGGCCACAAGTGCAACTAATGTGACATTAGTTGCACTTGTGGCCTTTTACTTTAGTAAGTAAGTAAGTAAGTAAATTTATTCAGGTATACACAAATACAGTTACATAGAATTATCATACATAGCAGCATATGTGTAGAGAACCTGGGATAACCCAAAAAAGTCAGACAGAGTGACTTATTTCCATTGGGGTCCTTTTACTTTACATAAATCAAATTACTTGGATTTTTCTTGGATTGCTCATTCTGTCAGGCATCAGTTGGATTAATTTGTTGTATAAGTCAGATTTATTTAACTGGTTCCTGACAGTGTGTAGCGCAGACTACTTACATCTTTATCACTGGAATTTCAATATACCTCTATCTGTTATTTTCCAAGGAATACCATACACAACAGTCAACTAACTCCTAGGTGTCTATTGCGTGGAATATATATATATATATATATATATATATATATATAATATATAATATATATATATATATATATATATATATATATATATATATTATATATATATATATATATATATATATATATATATATATATATATATATATATATATATATATATATATATATATATATATATATATATATGATTGGATTCATGTATAATTAATAAAATTTGGGAAGAATTTAAGGGGGATTACCAACAGACCCCTGGCAGTCTTCAAGCTGGCACTGGACAAGCACCTAAAGCCGGTTCCTGACCAGCCGGGCTGTGGCTCGTACGTTGGTTTGCGTGCAGCCAGCAGCAACAGCCTGGTTGATCAGGCTCTGATCCACCAGGAGGCCTGGTCACAGACCGGGCCGCGGGGGCGTTGACCCCCGGAACTCTCTCCAGGTAAACTCCAGGTAAACAGACAAATATTTGGATAGAATATAAGCTGTGTTTGAGGGATCACTAACTACCAACATCATCACAGAAAGTCAGGTGTTGTTGTGGGTGGCAGCCTTCCTGTTAACCTTTTATTTTGATAGTTCCTTGATAATGTGAGATGTCACGAAAGCGCTTGGAATTTCGCTATTTTTTCACAATGGTTGTTCTACATATATAGTTTAAATACAGTGAGGTTAACAATTACCTTTCCACATACAGTAGGGCCCCACTTATACAGCAGGTTAGCTGAAGTTGCCGTAAAGTGAATCATAGCCGTTTGCACTATCATATATGCAAATCTAATAACATATTTACACTATCATATATTAAGTGAGCAATATAGATAGACCTAATAAAATACATATACAATACACACATTACTTTCTCTACAATGTTTTCGTCCTAAGTATATTGAGTGGTGAATATATTGTGTGGTGAATATATTGTGTGGTGAATATATTGTGTGGTGAATATATTGTGTGGTGAATATATTGTGTGGTGAATATATTGTGTGGTGAATATATTGAGTGGTGAATATATTGAGTGGTGAATATATTGAGTGGTGAATATATTGAGTGGTGAATACATTGTGTGGTGAATATATTGTGTGGTGAATATATTGTGTGGTGAATATATTCATTGTAGGAAATTCGAATAAATGAACACTTGGCATAATTTAAAACCGCCGTGTTAGAGAAACGCTGTAAAGCGAGGCACTGTAAATCGGGGCCTGTTTATATTAATTTGTAATTTAAAGCATATTCTCTCATTCTTTTTCTGTACATTAACTGATTCCTCCGCCTTAAAATGATAATATTAATGAGCTAGTGTACTGGCAGGTGCGGGTGTTGTCGTGGTGTGTACTGGCAGGTGCGGGTGTTGTCGTGGTGTGTACTGGCAGGTGCGGGTGTTGTCGTGGTGTGTGCTGGCAGGTGCGGGTTTTGTCGTGGTGTGTACTGGCAGGTGCGGGTGTTGTCGTGGTGTGTGCTGGCAGGTGCGGGTTTTGTCGTGGTGTGTACTGGCAGGTGCGGGTGTTGTCGTGGTGTGTACTGGCAGGTGCGGGTGTTGTCGTGGTGTGTGCTGGCAGGTGCGGGTTTTGTCGTGGTGTGTACTGGCAGGTGCGGGTGTTGTCGTGGTGTGTGCTGGCAGGTGCGGGTGTTGTCGTGGTGTGTACTGGCAGGTGCGGGTGTTGTCGTGGTGTGTACTGGCAGGTGCGGTGTTGTCGTGGTGTGTGAGGATGGTGGTAGTGAGTCAAGCGCTGTAAAGCAGGACCTATCAATATTTATAATATGTAGCTTCAAGCTTATTTTCTCTCTTTTTCTGTACATTAACTGATTCTTCTGCCTTAAAATGATAATATTAATTAGTGTACTGGCAGGTGCGGGTGTTGTCGTGGTGTGTGAGGATGGTGGTAGTGAGTCAAGACCCAGTCTTCCTGGCCACCTTTGCTGAGATCTCTCTCAAGAAGCGTCTTCTGGTGTGGGACACTAAACTGTTGGTGCTCACTTGTCTCTCCCTGACGCAGCTTCACACCCTCATCTCCTCCTACTGGACCTTCACTATGATGAACACTGTCTTTCTTAATGTGGAGAGTCGTCTAAACCTCAGGTAATATTCTCAGGTGATGTACGCTTTCTCCTTAAGTTTCACGGCTCACTTGCCGTGGGTTCTAACCCCTCCCAAACCGTGTTTTTATTCAATAAATATATTTTTCACAACTTGCAACTGAAAATAAATTTAAAATTTTGACTTAGAAAACACTCACCCATATGAAATATATTCACACTTCTGGTAATCCACTGAAAATATGTGATTATCTGAGAATATAGTCCATGGAATAAATTTTGAGAATTTCTGTTTTTCTACGACACATTGTGACAATTTTCGTGATTACGTACATATAGTCTTAAAAATTTTCTGATATTTGACTCTGATGTTTCAATTAGTAATAATTACATTGAGAATCTGTGATAAATTTTGAGTTAACTTCAAAAAATATTTAGTAGGATGGATTCATATACGACAAACTCTTGCTTCATAACTCAAGGGAAATGGAAAATGGCTTTGGTGTTTATAAAAGTCTCCCCATACAAGAAATAGGCGCTGCCCTTCACTTCCTCCCCTCAAATTCGATTTTTTCCCCATGTGTTTCATAGCCCCTTTAAGTTCAGCACTAGTCTGTGAATATGATTATAAAACTTCGATTTCAGGAATTTATCTTTCACTTTTAACAAACATCCGGTGGACTGTTGTTTTTAGTGTAACGTGAAGTGGTAAACCCGTGAACTCAGGTTATTCAGAGAGCGGAGACTTGAACCTTTAGAGTGGATCATTCACGATAAAAAATGGTGAATGAGAGATCTCCATGTATGTTATAACACGTATTAGTACCATTTCTTAGGCGTACTTTACATCACCATACTAGATTAAGTGTCACCATATACGACACAGAGAAATCTCTCATAACATTGCATAAGTACATCACTATGAGAATACAGTGTTTGAAAATACAATACCAAGGTGATCTTACGACCTTTGTAACAGAGGTGACTCTTACCATATTGTAAATAATAATAATCTCCATGGGATAGTGGAACGAAATTCATCCTCCGTAAGAAGAGACTAAAATGCCGGGAGCAAGAGGCTAGTAACCCCTTCTCCTATATAAATTACTAAATTTAAAAAGAATTTTTTTTTTAAGTCACCCTGCCACAGTGGCACACGGCCGATGTGGTGAAAAAATTATTAAGCACTATGTTTTCCCTTTGACAGAGTGAGCATGTATACCCGGCTACCATACACCTCAGAGGGCGCCAAGGTCGTCAACTTTGCCTTGTGGACAATAAAACGCGGCCTCCTCTTCAAAGATATTCTTGCTTTCTTCCCATCCAAGTTTTCCAAGTGAATACGCAATACTGTCCAAACTCTGCCAGACCACAAATAACTTTAGCTCCCAGAGAACTAGGGAAACATATCTCTTGTTCTATAAATTATAATAATCTTAATACCTTCAGAGCGAAGTTCATGCAAGAGAGATGAAATATTAATCGCCAGACTTGTGCCAGAGGCTCCTGTGTAAGCATCTAGTTCGTTGATTGCCAGAGTAATGTCGTCTGGCGTAGTATGGACAGTACTGCATACTTTCTTCCAGAAGAGTGGACGAGGGTTCGAAGCGCTGTCCGTAAACTGACAGTCCAAAGGAGTTCGGCTGGGTTTCAGTTGATGATTGAGACACTTATGCAACATATGGGAATCTTTATTCAGGAAACGTTTCGCCACACAGTGGCTTCATCAGTCCAATACAAAGTAGAAAGGCGTAAGGAGAGGAGGACATTGATGGATTGAACATATCAACACCAGGCTGAGGGACTGATTATCTCAAACTCCTCCTCTCCATACGCCTTTCTACTTTGTATTGGACTGATGAAGCCACTATGTGGCGAAACGTTTCCTGAATAAAGATTCTCATATGTTGCATCAGTGTCTCAATCTTCAACTTGTCGGTTTTTCACACCATTCATCACAACTGGGTTTCAGGTAGTGTCTTTAACTATTAGAGGCCTTGGCGCTAGAGATGGTACGGAATCGGACTGACAGTTTACGGGCCGCGGTTCGAACTCGTAAATATCTGTGAAAAGAACAGTAAATTTCCAAATGCTTTCTTGATATCACGAAAGAGCTTGGAAGTTCGCTATTCTTATCACAGCGGTTTTTCTGCGTATTGTGGTATCACGTGCTCAATATAATCTTATTGCATATATATATATAGTGTATTATATATAAATATATATATATATATATTATATATATATATATATATGTGTGTGTGTGTGTGTGTGTGTGTGTGTGTGTGTGTGTGTGTGTGTGTGTGTGTGTGTGTGTGGGTGTGTGTGTGTGTGGGTGTGTGTGTGTGTGTGTGTGTGTGTGTGTGTGTGTGTGTGTGTGTGTATGTGTGTGTGTGTGTGTGTGTGTGTGTGTGTGTGTGTGTGTGTGTGTGTGTGTGTGTGTGTGTGTGTGTGTGTATACTGCGGCTAGAAGGGGATCGAACCCACAATATTTTAACCAGCCTTCTCGGAAACCAGCCAAAATCCACGACGCCTTAGTCCATATCGCAGAATCTTTCGAGCGCCAGTTGGCCAATCGGTTAGCACACTGGCTTGTGAGTCTTGTGACTCATCTGCCATGGGTTAGAGCCCCAGCCATTCTGGAGACGTGTATCAGCATATGACACATCCTCTATTAGCAATACATTGACATATTGTTAAATTAAATTTAATTAAGGCATCATTTCTCTTGATAAAGCTCTTCACGTTATTCTTAAAGTCAGTACCAACAGATAAACACACAACGGAAAGCGCTCTTCTCAAATTAATATAATCGCTTTAGGAGCTAAACCCATGTGAGTCATTCAGAGAAGACATGTTAGTAAAGTTTGTTAGTGTATATTAATGAAATCACTAAACAAATGATTTTGAATCGTTAACAGAACTGCAGCTAGCCGAGATTCGATCCTGCGTCACCATATCCACCTCCTGTTCTCTAGGAGATGGACATGGTGACGCAGGATCGAATCTTGGCTAGCCGTAGTTCTGTTAATGATTCAAAATTACTTGTTTCGTGATTTCACTAATATATAGACGGCTAGTGAAAGCTGGCACTCAACCGGGAGTAGGTTGAAATTAGTTTCTGAGTGTTAGTGTTTATGAGGAATTAGACACATGTGCAACATCTGGGTATCTTTACAGATGTTTTGTCTTCCAGTGGTATTACCAATACAAGGACATAATCTGAAGACTGTTTAAATGTATACAGAAAACAGTGGAAGTATTGTCGACATGTATACTGCTGATGCACAACTTATCAGACTTATACAATTACACGTACAAGGTATACAGACCATAGCTGACATCAGTGACATACTACTATATGGAGAGTACCTTGTTATACAGAGCTTTTCGGGCAAATTAGATCAATTTCGTCCCTTGGATGCGGCCCACACTAGTCGATTAACACCCAGGTTTCTCTAGTAATAGAATAGAGACAGCAGGTGTCTTAAGGAAACGCGTCCTTATGTTTCTACCCTTATATGACACAGTTCTCTTTCTCAGTTTCTACGGTGCCACGGTGAATGTGACAGCATTACCATTCGCACCGTTCTGGGACGCAGTGGAAGGACCAGGCGACACCATACTTTACACCGGCTCAGATTACTTTCTCCTGATGGCCATCGCCGAAGCACTCAACTTTACAGTGTACGTCGTGCCTACAAGCTCCTGGGCGGAGGTAAATCACACTGCACTTCTCTTGTTTTATAATTGTTTTTGCTGTAGCTTTCAGTGTCCTAATAATGGTCAAAAGGTCCTGATCTGAGAAACTGGAGGATGGCCAACGGAAGGGAATTTGAGCTGACGTTGAGAAGGATGAGGTGACTGTGAACTGGATTCCTTCGGTGTGCTGCTGGCCGAGTGGGGTTCAGGTATTGAGAGGGACACTTTATTACACAATACACACTTTATTGCTTTGTTTTTACTAATATCATTAGACACGCAGATAAATATTACCTAACACAAAGAAATCTTTAAAGGAATACCGGAATTTTCTTACACAGGGATGGGTATTACGGTCATGATGTCCAGGAGGATTAAAATTTTTCATTTTCGTTCCCCGTTCCAGTCACGGTATTGTGCCTTTTTTCGTTGTTTACCCAAGAATTATTATAATTATTATTATAATCATGGTGGAGCGGGGATGAAAGGTATGCGTTTGGAAGGTATTCACGCTTAATTCAGGGAACTGGGGCACAGATCCAATTCCTTCGATCAAGAGCCTCTCACCAGCGTCAAGAAACCTCCCATGAGGAGAGATACCTATGAGTAAATAGAACGATGGGCGGGAGGCTTAAACGGTGGTGACCTGTACTTAACTCAGTGGTGACCTGTACTTAACTCAGTGGTGACCTGTACTTAACTCAGTGGTGACCTGTACTTAGCTCAGTGGTGACCTGTACTTAACTCAGTGGTGACCTGTACTTAACTCAGTGGTGACCTGTACTTAACTTCAGTGGTGACCTGTACTTAACTCAGTGGTGACCTGTACTTAACTCAGTGGTGACCTGTACTTAACTCAGTGGTGACCTGTACTTCGCTCAGTGGTGACCTGTACTTAACTCAGTGGTGACCTGTACTTAACTCAGTGGTGACCTGTACTTAACTTCAGTGGTGACCTGTACTTAACTCAGTGGTGACCTGTACTTAACTCAGTGGTGACCTGTACTTAACTCAGTGGTGACCTGTACTTAACTCAGTGGTGACCTGTACTTAACTCAGTGGTGACCTGTTCTTAACTCAGTAGTGACCTGTACTTAACTTAGTGGTGACCTGTACTTAACTCAGTGGTGACCTGTACTTAGCTCAGTGGTGACCTGTACTTAACTCAGTGGTGACCTGTACTTAACTCAGTGGTGACCTGTATTTAACTCAGTGGTGACCTGTACTTAACTCAGTGGTGACCTGTACTTAACTCAGTGGTGACCTGTACTTAACTCAGTAGTGACCTGTTCTTAACTCAGTGGTGACCTGTACTTAACTCAGTGGTGACCTGTACTTAACTCAGTAATGACCTGTACTTAACTCAGTGGTGACCTGTACTTAACTCAGTGGTGACCTGTACTTAACTCAGTGGTGACCTGTACTTAACTCAGTGGTGACATGATCGAAGTGTATAAGTGGAAGATGGGTATTAATAAAGGGGATATTAATAAGGTCTTGAGGATATCTCTCCAAGAGAGAACCAGCATTACGATTTCTTAAGTCAGCAGTAATGGATTTAAGTTGGACAAGTTTAGATTTAGAAAGGACATAGGAAAGTATTGGTTTGGAAATAGGGTAGTTGATGAGTGGAACAGTCTACCTAGTTGGGTTATTGAGGCTAAAACCTTGGGTAGTTTCAAATTTAGGTTGGATAAATACATGAGTGAGAGGGGTTGGATTTGAGTGGAACTTGCATATGGATGGATAGAGTTATCAGAGCTTATTTGATGGGTAGTTTTGAAAATTTGGTTGGGTAAATGTTTTGTTAGTTGGATGGATTGTAAAGGACCTGCCTAGTATGGGCCAACAGGCCTGCTGCAGTGTTAGTCCTTTCTTATGTTCTTATGTATAGAAATTGCAGGTATTGAGTAATTTGAATGAACATTAAAATGGTATAAAATACCGACAGATTGTTAGGTAAGACACATATGCAACAGTTAGACAACTTTATTCCGAAACGTTTCGCCTACACAGTAGGCTTCTTCAGTCGAGTACAGAAAGTAGGCAGGAGCAGTAGAGATGTGAAGACGATGTAATCAGTCCATCACCCTTAAAGTTTTAGGGTGATGGACTGATTACATCGTCTTCAAGTATCTTCTGCTTCTATCAACTTTTCTGTACTTGACTGAAGAAGCCTACTGTGTAGGCGAAACGTTTCGAAATAAAGATACCTAACTGTTGCATATGTGTCATACCTAACAATCTGTCGGTTTTTTATACCATTTTAATATTCAATTATATTCCTGTCGACAATGGACAATAGCTTCAAAAGTAAATACAGTATTGAGATTAAAATATGGGAATATTGAGAATGTGAATATTGAGTATAGAGCATATTTAGTCTAGGGTGATTAAGTGGCTTTTGAGAAGTCTTAAATTGATTTTCAGACTGGGTTAATTTAGTATTTTCTGGTAATGAATTCCATATTTTGGGGCCCTTTATGTGCATAGAGGTTACACAGTGTGATGTGGATACGGGGTACATCAAAAAGAGATCTGTGTCTTGTGTTATGGTCGTGTGTATGAAGGAAGAACTCAGGTTAGTGTAGTTTTATTATGATGGTTTCATTAATGCGACATCCATGAGAACATAAGAATGGAGGAACACTGCAGAAGGCCTACTGGCCCATGCAAGACAGGTCCTTATCAAAACGACCTCTACCCAAAGCTATCCAGGAAATAACTCCCGTACCCAATGACACCAATCAAACCCAGCCCCTCCCACTCATATATTTGTCCAGTCTCTTCTTAAAGCTACCCAAGGTAGCTTTTAATTCAGGATTAATAACTTTTAATTCACAGAGAAAACCTGTTTACAGGTTTCAGGGTCAAAATGTGAACATCAGCGAATGAGATCATTTTTCCGGTTGGCTCATTGTAACTTTGGATGAACGAGGTGTTAGTAGATTAACATATGTGAGCAACCAGAAATGAGACTCATTGTTCACCTCACATTCTAACGTGAACTAGACTGATGGTCCGGTGTTGTTTACATTGTCTGGAAGATGGCGCCCATCAAGTTAAATGCGACCTACAATCAATATATCGAAATGCGCAATTTATGCTATTATGAATAAAGGATGGAATTCCATAAGTTCCCTGAAGATATTGGCCATGAAATATATTTGTTGTATGAATCTTAATATGTAAAACAGTTTAAAATAATGCAAACTTCTGTTTGGGCAATGTAATCCTGGCGCCTTAAAGGTAATTAGACATCATTGTTACTGGAGAATACGTCAGTCACATGTTCAGTAATAACTCATATTGTAATAAAGTTGGTAGAATTACCGACAATATGTAAAGTAAAAGGACACAAGTGCAACTAATGTGACATTTATTGTGGCAACGTTTCGCTCTCCAGGAGCTTTATCAAGCCATTACAAACAATACATGGACACAGAGGGTATATAAAGGCTCTGAGTGAGGTGTAATACTAGTGAGGTACCATTTCGATGTTCACTAGTGGTAGTAGTAGTAGTAGTAGTAGTAGTAGTAGTAGTAGTAGTAGTAGTAGTAGTAGTAGTAGTGACAAAAGTAATACAAAGTTAAGACACATGTGCAACATCTGGATATCTTTATTGTAGACGTTTCGCCATCCAGTGGCTTTATCAATACAGATTCTAGGACATAATAGGAAGACAGTAGAACTATATACAAAAGATGAGGTAATCAGTCCCTCGGCCTTGGAGTTAGTGTTCACAGCATCGTGGTAGAGGAGAATCTCCAGATTCTCCAGATTCTCCTCTACCACGATGCTGTGAACACTAACTCCAAGGCCGAGGGACTGATTACCTCATCTTTTGTATATAGTTCTACTGTCTTCCTATTATGTCCTAGAATCTGTATTGATAAAGCCACTGGATGGCGAAACGTCTACAATAAAGATATCCAGATGTTGCACATGTGTCTTAACTTTGTATTACTTTTGTCACTACTACTACTACTACTACTACTACCACTACTACTACTACTACTACCACTAGTGAACATCGAAATGGTACCTCACTAGTATTACACCTCACTCTGAGCCTTTATATACCCTCTGTGTCCATGTATTGTTTGTAATGGCTTGATAAAGCTCCTGGAGAGCGAGACGTTGCCACAATAAATGTCACATTAGTTGCACTTGTGTCCTTTTACTTTACAATAACTCATATTAGACCGATCACATAACTTATGATCTGAGTTATATTAGACAAACTATATCAGATTTTTCTGATTTGTGTCCCTTAGCTCTAGTCTTTTTGAGATTATTCAACCCATGCTGGTAAACATTTTTCAGAAACGTCATCTGTACTCACCTATTTACTCACCTATTTGTGGTTGCAGGAGTCGAGTCTTAGCTCCTGGCCCCGCCTCTTCACTGGTTGCTACTAGGTCCTCTCTCTCCCTGCTCCATGAGCTTTATCAAACCTCGTCTTAAAACTATGTATGGTTCCTGCCTCCACTACTTCACTTTCTAGGCTATTCCACGGCTTGACTACTCTATGACTGAAGAAATACTTCCTAACATCCCTTTGCCTCATCTGAGTCTTTAACTTCCAATTGTGACCCCTTGTTTCTGTGTCCCATCTCTGGAACATCCTGTCGTTGTCCACCTTGTCTATTCTGTGTCCTTTTGTGTCCTTTTACTTTACAGTATTTTATATGTCGAAAGTTAAGACACTTGTGCAACATCTGGTTATCTTTATTGTAGACGTTTCGCCATCCAGTGCCTTTATCAATACAGATTCTTGGACACAAGAAAAACGAAGAACTATATACAAAAGATGAGGTAATCAGTCCCTCGGCCTTGGAGGTGGTGTTTAGAGCACCGTGGATGTAGAGATTCTGAAGCACAGGCAAGGAGACTGGCGCTTATATAGGCGTCAGTGAAAGGGACGTGTAGCAGACGAGGACATAGTCACTGGTAGGCGGGATTCCCCAGTGGAAGTAGGTCCTTCCCAAATTGATGGGCTAGTTGTAGAAGTC